CATTGTTATTGTTATAATTTAAACTATTGTTATTGTTGTGATTTGAATTGTTGTTATTGTTGTAATTTGAATTGTTTCCAACATTATTGTTTTGTTGATTCAGAGGACAATTAGTTTTAACATGTCCTGGTTGATTACATTTGAAACAAATTATTTGAGGTTTGTTGCCATTATTGTTGTTGTTGTAATTATTATTTTTAAAATTCCTTGGCTTCCTTGGTTTGAGTTGTTCAGACATGTTATTGACAGCTTCAGTCAGCTGTGTCAATATTTGATTAGAAGTTGACTGTGAATTTATGTCATTACCATAAGGATTTTGAAGATATGAATATTCAAATGCTTTGGCCCTTGTATATGCTTCATATAAAGTGTTTGGCATAAATGGAGTGACTGCCCTATTTAATTCAGGTCTCAATCCATTAAGAAAGATATGAGCTTTTGCCACTTCAGGAAAATAATTTCCTCCTGTTATAACCTTCCTAAATAAATCCTCAATAATCAGATAAAATTGTTCAACTGTTTCAGTAGGTCCTTGTTTCCTTTGAGTAAGTTGTGAAAACCATTTTCCTTCCAAAGATACAGTCCTAAATTGCCTAAGAAAATTTGATTTAAAGCTGAGTGGTTGTGCCATTGGATCATCCCACCTATTAACAGCTGGATTTTGAACCCTCCTGTTTATCCACCAGGTAGCAGCAGACCCTTTTAGATGAGGAACAATAATTGGAATTTTCCTTGCATCAGGCACCCTATTTGCCTCAAATGCTTGTTCCACTTCCTCCATCCAAGTTATAGGATCCTGCTCTCCACCATAGAAATCAGGATAACTGACCAGATGTAATTCACTTGGGGGTTGATTAGCATTTGCCATTAACTGTTGAACCAGTTGGTTCAAATTATTTGCCACATTGTTTAAACCAATATTAGGATTTTGATTATTTGCCATGGTTTTCAATAATTTAAGAAAAAGAAGAAGAAATAATAGTTGAGAAAAGAAACAAAAATGTGTTTTCAAAGAGAAAAAAATAAAGTTTTTGATAAACAGAAGTGTTTATTCCACACAACTGGCACCAAATTGTTACTGCCTTGGGAGAGCAAAATGAGAATTGTGCCAATTTAGACTCGCAGTGAACAGGGTGTTCCTATGAAAT